CAATTACATTAGCTCTGATGTTTTGAGGAATTGAGAATTATGGCCCCTCCGCTATGGTAAATGCCTTTTGCTAGAAATGGCTTTGAAACTGGCCAGGTGTGGCAGAGTCCTCATGCAGGGCTTGGTCACACCAACTGAGCTGTCCTTGAATCCTGAAAGTGGGGTGCTGCCTTTTCTAACAAACTTCAGTTGAAAATCAGCATAGAGGTGCTCAGAACCAGAGAAGGTGGTGCTCCAGGTAGAAAAGGGCTAGAGAATAAAAGTTTTATGGCTTTGGAGGATTTTTTTCCCCCTTCGCTTGGAGTAGTGAAAGAAGAGATAGAGTTCTGTAGCCTATTTTATATTCTTTAACCTCTCTTGAGCTGTTCCGCTTTAAAACTTCCTTACATGTACCCTGTTTCTTAACTGAGTGCTCTTTGTCTTGAAAACAGCTATTAGGCACTCACCCTTATCTCAAGATGTCCTTTTTACGTTTCATATGAACGAGCTGAATTGCTTGGAATAAAAGTGGCTTTTCTGTCCTACTCTGTCAGGAAATAAAGACATTTCTGACATATAATACCATTTTTTTAAGGATAAAGTCATCTTACTCTGCCAAGGAGACTCTTTTTAAGGCCACAGAATGAAGTTACTCCAAAAATGCACTGCTTTTTATTTATTTTAACACACAGTTTTCAAGCTTTCTGTCTAGCCCAAGGCATTATTAATATTGACATGAATACATAGTTGGCTTCCAAATAGGCCTGCAATCCCTGTGGCTCAGCTGTTCAATACAAAATCCCTAAAAAAATCCCAATTGTTAAAACATCACTGCAGACTAACTGCTTAGCGGGAGGTTCTCATCTGTTTCCAAAACAGATTTCCAATGAGTTTCAGCTGTGGTCAGTTCTTTAAAAGTCATGGATTTGTACACTCGGGCTTGTCCTGTTTCATTGGAGAGTGAACAATCTTTTCCATGTTTGAATTATTACCATTTTAGTAGCAAAGCTCAGCCTCATTTTGTAATTTCTGCTGGGGGAGTAATTTCTCCTCACCCAAGTAATCCCATTGAGTTTCCATATGAGCAAGAACTTGCAAGATCAGGACCTTTCACCCTCAGCACTGCCTCTTTTTAGTGTGCAACTATTTTTATTCTCCAGCTTCCAGGCATAGAAATGTTGACATCTAAACTGAGGAATGCCAATGGTTGAAACACAAAAAGAAAATAAGAGCCATCATTTAAATTATTTAGAATTTTTTTCAAGACATTGCATTATTAAGCAAGGAATTGTTTACACAATGGAGTAATTTTAAAATATCTACATGTTTTAAAAATCCAAATCTTAAATGCTGCACATGTTTAAAACTAAAAAATGTTTCATGCTTTACTAAGTAGTAGATATTTTAAAATAGTAGACATTTCAAAATAAATTCTAGCACTTATTAGCCTGTCTCCAACGAAATATGTTCTTCCATAAACATTTAAAAGAGCTCTTCTTAACTCTCCATCTCTCGAGCAGCAGAAATTAAAACCCTTCCAGGCACAAAATCCTTACTTTCTCCAAGTTGAAAACAACTTGGGTACTGTCAGCAGTGATGTATCCCAGGGGTCACCTTGTACTAGGGTGCACTCTGTTAATGACCTGGGTGGTGGGACAGAGTGCAGCCTCAGCAAGTTTGCAAAAGATAGTAAACTGTGCAAAAGATAGTAAACTGGTGCCTTTGTGAGTTAAAAGGCCTAGGCAATGGTATCAGTTAAAGAGACTTGTTAAGGAAAATATGTATCAACTGTAACCTTGCATAGTCTTTTTTCCTGACTCATTGCCACAGCAATATATAGTAATGAACCTTCTCACCTTCCTGCACCTTGGTAGTCCGTGTGCCTTGCCAGCTGCTACCAAACCCATCTGCTTCTGGTCCAAGTCCCAGCGGACAAAGAAGCTGTGCCATCATCTAGATGGCAGAAGGATGACGATGAAATCCACAGGGCAAGGGAGGCATCCTTGTTATGTGTGTTACGAGGGGTTACCAACCCTCTCTGCAAGCATTGAGGCCAAACCTACAGGAACAAGCTCATATTTAAACTACCAGGCAGATATCGAGGCAGATAGCAGAAGTAGGAAGGACTACTGACCAAAATATCTGGCCTCAGGACCACATTTCTTCCTTTCCCTATTTGTTCGAAGGCTTTGCTGGAGAAGGCTGGGAGATAAGGGTAGGGCGTTTATGCAGAATGTTATGGTGCAGGTTCTGTGGTGCCATAGTGCAGACGAGTTGGGGTTGGGGCAAGTATTAAAATGTCCTTTACACAGCCCTGCAAGGGACTTTGGGAAAGGTCTTCTTCAGTGGTGCCCTATTTATATGCAGAAGTGTCTGGGGCACTTTATAAAGGGCTATGCTGGAACCTCAACTCTCTCTGAATACAATAGTCCTTGACTAGGCCTTAAGGTAGTGATCTAACCAGGATGGTTGTATGGATGTAAGGACATTGTCAGATTGATTTTGACACAAAAATGAACTCTTAAAGTAAATGAGAGAAAAAAATCCATGAAGTGAAAGTGATCTCAGTGCAGAAAATCATACTGACCTGGAAAGCACCATACAAATTTTAGTGGATATGTTGACTAAGTACCATGTCCTCATGTAGGTAAGTTGTCCTTTTGGGGCAGATTCCACAGCCAAATCTGTTCTCTTGTACATTATCAGTTCGAACCTCTTCATAGCTCCTTATGCAATGGTTATGTTGTAAATCAAACTGAAGCTTGCTGTGTTCTGGCTAGCCCCAGCTCATGGATGATTCCCACTGATTACTCTGGTATGAATTTGAGCAGCCTCCAAACTGCCCTGCAATGTAGACAGAGAGGGAGGGATTTCAGCAGACCATCCCCATCTTCCCAACAACTGCTGGAGTCAGATACACGCAGCAGAATCTGAATAAAGCAAAAATTCTGCCCTGAAGCCTTTAGGTGGAGTGGACATGAATAATGGCAGACCCTGAAGAAGGAAGAAGAACCAACTCTTACAGCCGTTGTGGGAGGCTTCTGCTAACTTATGTGGCTGGCCTTTCAGCTCCACATATGTAACCATTGTCCTCAGCAAATGGGTTTAGTATAAACAAGGAGCACTTACATGATAAAACGTGAAAAAGTGCTGTTGCAAAAGTACTTGAATCTGAAAAAAGCCAATTCGAAATAAATAAGGGGCATTGAGAAATCACATTCTGGCAATTGCACACAGTGTGTGCATTTCCCATAGAACTGAATAAAAATAGACTGTGTCGAAAAAAACGATGAAAAACTCATGGGAATGAATGTCTGGCACTGTTTATATTCCACTCCTGGGGCTAAAGTTGGAATATTGAAAGGGTGGTGCAATTATGAATTTTACTTTAAAAATATAAATATTTCTGGTTTTTATAAAAGTATAAAAATAATCACACACTTTCTTTGATGATCCATTAGTCTACATTAAATAGCGAGTCTCAATTCACTGCAAGTCAGCTGAGTTAAGATACTTACACTGCGTTCATAGAGAGATTAATATGATGGAGTCTTTAGGTTCTGCCAAAATAGAAACAGTAGTGTCATATACAGACAAATGTGTGTGTATTTATTTATACATGCACACACATATATGAGAGACAAAAAACCAGTGCTTCTGTTCCAGGATCTGTAAAGGTCATTACATTTAGATTATTTTTAATCAAATGCACATCTACAAGTTCATATAAACAAACCATTCTGAGACAAACTGGAGACTTGGCGCTCCAGTGCACAGCTCTGATACATCCACATTTGTCCTTTGAGGTCTGCTGGTTTGAAACAAGGTTCTTCTCTCAATTGTAGCTCTTCAAACTAGAAGCACAATCTTTTCTTGCAGACTAGGCAATACCTGAACCCATTTTGTCTGATGCCTTTAACACACTGAAGTGCCTGTCATACAGTCCAACGTGCATAGTTACCCAACCCAAGCTGTTTATAAGTGAGCAGAGACACTCAAATTGAGAAACACATTAGGGTCAGAATGGTGGTTTTACTCACTGATGCTATTCTCAGTTTTCACCAGGACAAAAGCCTGTAGGAACATTACTGCTGCATTAAGGTTTAAACTAAAGAAAATATTTCAGCTGGTGCTTATTTGTCCTCTTTAACCAATATTTATGCATATGCTTTATTCCTCTTGCCAAGAATAAATAATTACTTCTTCAAGAAAATAATGAGTAACAATTAAATCTATCAGGAAAATAAAAACCACACCAAAACCCAACAAAACAGACAAACCAAAACAACCCCAGACAATCAAACCCAAACCTACAAAACCAAAAAACAATCCAAACCAAAAGCCCAATAGTTAATGTCCACTGAAAAAGTTGCCTCTTTCCTAGAAGACATCATTTAGAAGGAGAGACTCCACAGCTCCTTTTGGAAATTAGCTACCAAGAAACTTGAGTTAACTCTCATAATGAGTTGGGTTTTTTTGTTTTTGTGGAACATTGACAGTTAATGAGAAATGCAAGGCATGGAATCGTAGGGTTGTTCTTCGTCCAACAGCTATTTCTACTCCTTTGTTCACTGTTTTTGCCACAAAGTAGATGATCTGAAGGTGCCATACCTAAGCTCGGGACTAATAGGAGGAGAAGAGGCAGGGAGAAAGTTAATTTTTCAAAAATAACTGGATTCCCCAGCTCCATCAAGGGAAAATTAAACAAAACTATCCATTCACTTTTTCATTTAAATAATACCCAAGCATCCATGGGGGTGACTGTAGGTTTTTAAAAACAGATTTGTACTATGATTTTCTAACTATTGCATCGTATTTTGTAAGATCTAAGAACTACTGCATGTTTTAGGATATTTATTTGTTCCTCTAGTGACATGAAAGAGTTTGACTTTCCAAGAGAAGACACTGAGCCATTTCTGATAGGCAAGGCTGACACTATTCTTTTTCTTAAAGGTGCTATTAGAGTATCGAGACTGATGTCCTTCATAACAGATCGTATAAGCCTCTTCTACCGAGCATAGCAAAAAGTGTTTAGATAAAGGCTGTGAACTCTCACAGTCTTTTCACTTCAAGGCATTTCCTGCAGCTTATGAATAATTCCTGTGTCTCTTTTCTGCACCTCTCCTATTTATCCATATCCTTTTGAACACATGAACACCAAATCTGTAATTTTTTTTTTACTGGTCTCAGGAGTGCTTTACAGAGGGAAGACTCCCAATTCCTATTTTTGGTCTCCCTCTTGAAATAAGCAAGAATCTCATTAGCCCCTTTCTCTACAGAATTATTCTGGAAATTGAAGTTGAGCTGTTTCTCCGTTTTGATCCCCAAACCCTTTTAGAAGCACTGCTTTCCAAGATAAAGTCTTTCCAGTCTGTAAAAACATCTTGCACTCTTTCTTCTGAAGTCAATGACTTAACATGTAGCTGTGTAAAGAAAGATTTTCTTTAAATGGACAAGTCACCCAGATCACTCCATGCTTTCCTGAGCTCACTGACATGACCATTTTTACTGGGTTTTGTGTCATCTGGAAATTATATCAGCAACATTTCTGCTTGCTCCTGTGTGATTACAGGAGGTGTTAACAGAAGCAGCCTACTGTCAGTTCCTGGGGAACTTCTCCATCTGATGATTTTCTGTTGTCAACTACTTGGAGAGATGTCTCTGTTAGCCATTTAACAGGTTGTCTTCACAGTGTATAATGCCATTTTTATAAAAGCAGTAGGACATCAATGAAATAAGATCCTCAAAATAGCTGAAGTCTACTATATCTACATTGTCATTTTATTTTGTTGTTTTTAAAATGGGAAGGTTTACTTTTAATCCCAAATTCAGCACTGACTATATTGTCTTTAAAAATTCTACTAACATTTTTCTGAAATTACAGGTGATTATGAGTGCCTAAAATGAGTGCCCACATAAAAAGGACCAATTTTCTAAGAGACAGTATCCAGTAGTTTCTGAATATCAAGGACCACAAACAACAGATTTCAACGGAAATCAACAGCTGTTCATTTACTGAATAATAACAGATGTAAGCAGAGTTTGCAATAAGTCACAAAACTCATGCTTCTCGAAAATCCAGTTTGAGGTTAAAAAGAACTAAGGTGAGTGGAAAAGTAAGGGACTTGATGTCAGAAGACGTGATACTCAGCAGTTCTTCTGAACGTATTATCTCAGTAGATGAGGTTGTTGGAAGACTTGGTTTCATGACCAACATAAGACAACCTGAATTTGAATTGCTGATACTCCTCCTCCTGAGCCATGATTTCTGCTCTTTTCTCCCTGACAGCATGATGACTCATCTCAGCTCTATCAAGCATTTAATTTCACTGACTGCATAGGCATACAAGTGCTAAAAAGGTGAAACAAAGGAGAGGAAAGTAACACTCGTTCAAGGTTTAGCAGGTGACATTTTGTGTGGGAAACTCCTCAAACCATATATCTGCTTAAACTCATTGTGCATTGGTACCGAAAATGGCAGGGGCTATTTCATTAACACTGCTTTGCCACTATTCTGTTTCCTGATTTGAATTCCTTCCATCCAGGTTTTGAACTTTGCCTTTCTGTTTGCTCAGGAAAGACCTTTATTGGCATAAATAACAATTTTACTTGAGTATGTAAGTGGCTACTTGGTTCTTGCCATTCTAGATTTACATTAGGCAGAGGAAGAGTTAAGTATTTTGAATCTGTAGAACAATAGGCACAGGCAGAATAAAGGTATTATATGGAGAACAGGAGATTCAGTTGAAGGAAGAATTATGAGGAATATGTTCAAATTTGATTAATGCATTACAGGCACTAGTTTCTTATACTGTTGGTAGAACTGAACATTTTTCTGATATATAGATTTGGGTTTGGCAATGGATTTTGTAATATAATAACAGTGACACATCATTCTAAGGAGAAAAGTAGGAAACTATGAATCTGCACAACTGCAAGTCTTGTTATTGCTGGAAAATCCGTGGCTGAATGACTGCCATTGAAAACAGTTAGTAAAAAAATTGTGTGAGCCAGATTTGCCTAGTAAGCCAGCAGGAGCTGAAAGAGAGGAAAAAAAAATTAAAGAAGGAAAGTCAATACATGTAACATTTTAAAGGTATTTTGGAAGATCAGAAATTGGTACATAATTATTCTTATGAACTGTGGTTGTTCAAAACTTACAATCCAGCTATTGCTTGATCAAGAGCCAGCAAGAAAAAATATTGCCATATAGCTAAATGGATTTTGAAGTAAATATAAAGCATGAAGGGATTTGCAGATGCATTCTCAGCAGCACCTTTTAGTCATGCAGTATGCAAAGTGCATCTGGCATTTGAAATTTCAAAAGCCTGGACAAAAGATTTAAGATAACACAAAATGATTTTTAAAACACAGGAAATACATAGAGTAACATCTCCCAAAAGCAAATGTCGGTCTTTTGCTACTATGCTGTAATAGGTATAGGGCCAAATTTTGTCCTATATTTTCTCAAGTACAGTATAAACTCTTTCCATCGAGAACCGCAATTGGGAGTTACTAGTCCCTCTTGCCTGGAACAAGGTAACTAAGAGCAGGGTTTAAAAGCCTGTACTCCACTTGAGTATATAGAGTGCTTGCTAAAGTTACTTTCCATAAGACAGAAAGGGCTTTATGCAGGCTTACACTCACGATGTTAAGTGCACACTTCTGCCCCCTCTGTATGGCACCTACTGCATTGCAGGCTGCAAGTCGCTGTTTGGGAGCATGTCTGTAAGGACTGGAAAAGAATGTTCCTATAAGGCAAAACATTGACCTCTGGCAGGAAAAAAATGCTTGTATTTGGTTGTAGGATGGACTTTGTTAGCTTAGGTTTACTGAATTTACCAAGTTTGCATTTACCCTGGTAAAGACAAGGCCTGGAAGTCTGACAGTCTTTCCTTCTGCACTCTGTTTATTGTCCTCTGTGTGATCAGAAAAGATCTCATTCTCTGATCTCTGACAGAGCAGTCAACCACTGCTCTGAGGCATACTGGAATTGTCCTGTGGGAGACACAGTGCTTGTTATTTCTCACCTGTTAGCTCTAGTCTTCTAGTTTTTCACAGCCTTGAACCAGGTGAAGGGACAGAGTGACATGCAAAACTGGTAAGCAGTGTGTTATGAAGAGTGCATCTGTTGGCTAGGAGGAAAGAAGACAACAAAGTCTTTAGGTTCTTTCCTTGAGAATTGTGAGGGGAATGTTCTGTCCAATTTTTTTCAGTACAGATGGATTTTTGAAGGTTTTATATTCTCTTTCATTTCAAGAAGATATTTACAGCTGAACTAGAATGACATATAAAAATTAGTGGCAACTAATAAAACTCATCTGAGAGGTGTGAACCAATACGATACTCTCATTATCTAACTGTTCACTCTGCTAGACATAACACATTTTTTCAACAGCTGTCCTCCTTATGTGGATTTAAAAGCAATTTAAATATCAATGCAAGATCCTTGGAACAGAAAGTATCTAAGGAAACCAGATGACACTAACTTGAACTACAAAGTTCACTGCCATCCTTTGAGATACACAAAACTCAAGTTTCACTAGACACAAATGTTTTAGGCTGTTTTGAAAAAATTTTTTAAAAGAAGCATTCTTTAGAGTGCTGCCACTTAGGAATCTCTTATTCAAATTATCCCAGCTTTGCATAAAAACATCAAAGGCTAGCTCTTCAGGAAGTCCTCAGAGAAACAATCTCCTTTCACGTCTGGGAGGATGGGAGGCTCTGGCAAAGCTAGGGGAGTCCTTGATTAGACGGTAAAAGGCACTATGCTGCTGGTAAATTCCTAGAAGAATAGAGTGCCCTGTCTGGCTAAGAAAAAATGTCAGGGATGACAACCTTTTTAGTCCCGGAAGACTCCAATAAACGGAATATTATATGCTCACAGAACACCTAGTGTCTAGAAGACACTAATTACTAACATTTCCCTTCTTGGGAGTTTCCTCAAAGCTTAGGTATCTCTGAACCTGGTCACAAACAGATTAGCCCTCTCGGTGGTGTGAGAAGGTTTTTAAGCTCCTAAACTTGTAAATGAGCCAATCTGACATTTCTATCTAAACCACCCTCTAGAGTGACTACAGTATGCACCTGTCTGTAAAGTACAGATGTCAGCTCTCCTGCTGCACTTCAACCTCAGCCACTGTAATGTGTGTGGCTAGTTGCTGCACCAGAAGAGCTTTGTACAGGCAGCTGTGGTCAGGGCATGCCAGCACTGGGGCATGGCAAGAAGTGGGGGTGTGCTGGGAGCCCCCTGGACGCTGTAGCAATTCTTAGAGCCTGCTGATGGAGCAACCTTCTGCAGCCCAGAGAGCACTCGTGATCTGCCCCAAGATGACTTAGCTTGAACTTGAAGATGGTCCTCAGGCTGGACAGTGCTAAACATCAGTGAATTTAACTTCAAATAAGTACTTTATAATGGCTAGCTGTAGGCTTTTCCTGCAGGGTGAAATGAAGCCACAAGATGTTGCTCAAAGGTATTCCACAGCTCGACTGGCAGAGGTGTTTCTTGCCTGCTGCAGGGCAGCAATATCACCAATACTGGCATGGTTCACTCACTTCACTAATTCAACTGGTCTATCTACTTTGAAGACCTGACTTGTGAACAAAGCTCTATTTGAAAAGGCATACGCTACAGGCATTGGGTTCCACCTGGAAACTAATTAAATTTAAAACTGGCTTTGAGATACCTATCTGTGTGAAAAACGTTGTAGGGATTACTGTATTTTGCTGTCATATTTTCTTGAGGTCAAGTCTTTCAGTATTTTGCTACTACAAACTCACATTTTGACTGCTTATCTTACCCTACGCCCTCATGAAGTATATTTCAAGGCAATTTGAGTAATGCTTAATGTTAACTGAAATAAATTTTTAAACAGCCAAGTAGTCTCAACCTTAGACGTTTTAGCAGTTAATTTCCTTGGTGTGCTAAACAGAAGACTCCAACAGATATTTCTGGAACCCCAAAACGTTGGTCAATATTTAGGGGTGATTCCAAACCAGGGGGTGATGCAGTTTTCATGCATTCCACAGATCTCACTTTCAAGAAGCATTTAGTGAAGCCTCGGAAAACATGGCACCCATAATTGCTACTTACTCTACATAAAACATTTAAGCTTCCTGGTGATGACAAGCAGCACCCACTTACCGCTGTGCTAAGTGTCTCTGCAGCGTGGCTTGGTAGAGTGTTTATGCTTAGCATTGGCACTCGGCAGTGTTTAAATTGGACTTTCCCCCCCTTTTTCTAACAATTGTTTCTTTCTCCAGCTAATTTTTTCATGGACCTTAGACAACCAGCTGACAAACAGGATGCGTTTGCTAGCACATCACCCCTCTCACTCTCCACATCATTCATATGCATAGATGTGCTGTCTATTTATATTCGTCTATATTATGTGGAGAACAGCTTTAAGGTGGTGCATGGCTGCGAAAAAGCAGAGCAGGAACCAGCTATGAAACGCTACTTGCACTGCGGTCCTTCCCTGAGCGGGGACACGTCCGCTCACCAGGAATCCCTGGATGCCTGGACCTCCCCGCAGGGAGAAGGCGCCCAAAGCCCGGGAGCCCCGGGGTGCCGGGAGGCCGCGGTGCCCGGCGGGGCGGGCGGCGGGAGGTCATCCCGGGGGTGGGGAGATGCCGGCGGCCGCCCTGCCCTGCCCTCCCTGCCGCCGGTCGGGGCCGCGGGCCCGGCTCCCCGCGGCGGCGCGGGCGGGGCGCGGCGGCCGCAGTCCCCGGCGGGAGGTTGTCATGGTTTCCCGGGTCACATGTGCGCGAGGTTCCCCCGGCGCGGGGGGAGGAGGCGCCGCCGCCGCCGAGGCTGCGAGAGCCGCTGCCCCCCGCGGGTCCGCCCCCCGCCCGCTCCCACCTGCGCCGCCGCCACCCGCCCCTTCCCGCTGCCCACGGGCGATCCGCCGGGCGCGCCTCGTCCCCGGGCCGCCGACCCCCGGCCCCGGGCTCTCCCTCCCTCCTCCTCTTCCTCCTCCTTCTCCTCTCCCCTTCCCCTCTCCCTCCCCCTTCCCGGCCGGGCTGCGCCCCCCCGGCCGGCCCCGGCATGAGCATCTCCATCCCGGCGGGGCTGACGGAGCTGCTGCAGGGCTTCACGGTGGAGGTGCTGCGGAGCCAGCCCGGGGACCTGCTGGAGTTCGCCCTCCAGTACTTCGGGCGCCTCAAGGAGGAGGCGGCGGCGGCCAAGGCGGCAGCGGAGAAGGAGCCGAGCGGTCGCAAGGCGGGCACCGGCCATGACAGGGGCAGCCAGCGCCGGGCTCCCCCCGACGCCCGCGGGGTCAACTTCGCCGAGGAGCCCATGCAGACCGACTCCGAGAGCGGCGAGGACGAGCAGCCGCCGCCGCCGCCGCCGCCGCAGCAGTTCCCGGGTAAGGCTCCCCCGCCTCGCCGGGCGGGTGGGAGGGCGGGGGGCTCCTGCAGCCCCCGGGCTCAGGTGAGCGGCCGGGCAGGGAAGAGGGTCCCGGCCATGGGCCGCTCGCTGTGCCAGGAGCGGCCCCCGGGCAGCCCCAGCCCCGGCGGCCGTGCGGGGGTGGGCTCGGTGAGCGGGCACGGGCAGCGGCGGCACCGCGGGCACCTCCCGCCCGCGCTGACGCCAAACGGCGGAGCCCGCGGGAGATTTCCCGTATCCCGCGGCAAACTTTAACCTCCCGGGTTTCCCCCTGTTGTTCGGCGGTGCTGGATGCTGGGCACACAGGTATCACCAGCTCTATCTCTTGTAGTGCATGAGCCTGTGATAACCCTGACAAAGATCTCTGTATTTCCTTTTCGTAAGAGCAGAAGAGAGCAAATCTCCGTTCTGTAATTAGTGCAGTGGTAACTCTGCCTTAGAAAACACCTCTCATGGTCATGTTACTGTTTTAACGCGCTTTATTAAGCATTTTACGTAGGCGTACTTATATGTGTTTTAAAAAGTAGAGCACAATTTAAAACAGTTTCTTCCTGAAAGCCAAGATGAAATATTCTGCATGTAGAAGGGCCTGTGGAGCAAGCGTGGTTGTGACAGCATAAAACATGTGCAGTATCTTTGTGTTTGAGGGTAACACCTCTCTGCACCTTATCTTTGTGTGGCTGACAGGCTTTATTTAGAGACCATGTCGATCCATCGGCTGCTGTGGGTTATGGGACGGGTGGTAGCTGTCTCCGAAGGGTGTATAATGCTTCATCTTTTTGTCACGAGCAGGCTGACTGAAGGGTCAGTCAGTACCGCTAGATGCTGAGAAGCCAGTCAATGAGGGAAGAGGCGGTGTCCAAGTATCTTTTATCTTTTTTTTTTTTTTAAGAATAGCTGAAATTGAAGTGTATCTCATCAAAGCATTCGTCCCTCCGGGTCATGCTGGAGGTAGATTTACTTAGCAGAGTACAGAAGTGAGATGTTTGCTAATTGCATATCAGTGCAGTTTTTAAAAAGATATCTTCTGAGCATTTTACCAGGAAATGTAGATAAACAAATAGATGTTTAAGAACTGGGTAAGTTTTCAAAATGCTTCATGTTACACCTTAAGATAGTCACCATTCTTTTCATCTGTTATTTGCAGCTCTGCCATGTGTATTTAATGAGAATTTGAATCTGTCAATCAGGTTCTGCAGATTTATGGGGTAATTTTAAACTCTAATGCTGATTACGTGAGATTAGCAAAAATCTGAAAATTTGCTGTCTTTGAAAACTGAAATGGTGATAATGGGGAAGAACAAAATTATCTTAATTCACTAACACAGGACCTGGGTTTCAGATGTTAATTATGATTACAGAGACTCGCTAGTAAATGGAGAACTGGAATGTTGTATGGAGGGAAGTGCATAAATGTAGCTTGATTTATTAGCATGTATGTGTTACATATGTAAAACTTTGCAGGGTGTTTTAAGAAGCTTGCTAACAAATACCTGTAATCACGATTCTCTTAATAGTCTTTTTGTTGTGATTGTGAAGAGGGAAAGCCATTATTGTCAATATTCTTATTAAGGGACATGTTAGAATCTCTTAGTTTACCTAGTTTGTTTACTTATTTGACAAAAACCCTTTAAAAGGTCACATTTTTAATATATTTTGAAAGTTAAATTGTATTATGGCCTGTAATTTGTCAATTTCATTAATTATTGATTAAAGTAACAAAAAATGAAAATATTTGTGAAACCATATGGAAGGTTAATAATAAGTAAATTATAGGAAATTATTACTAATGATGTGCTTGTGTATGTGTGTATTGTGCAGAAGTGTGTATTTTAAATTCAGATTTTATGTCTTCCCTAATATATTCTTCTAAGGTAACATAGCAATGCATTCACTAAGCCTTTTGTTAATAACTGAAGGCATAAAGGCTTGTACTCAAATAATTTTTAATGTGTTTAAATACCAATTTTAAAGCATATTTCTTTTATGCTTTTGCTCTCTGTTTCTCTAAGTAACAATTCTTGAACTTAAGTTTGGGGGATGTGTTTTTCTTTTGTCTTTATGAATAATCAAACTGCTTCTGTACAGTCAATTTGTCCTGTTTGCATACTGCTTTCTTAGGAGAGGACAACAAATTGGAAAAGTTGATGAGCAAATGTAAAATGAAAACCTCTGGGAAGGAGCTCAGACCTGGTGGTGGTATCTTTTCTTTGCTAAAGCAGTACACTTGAAATGTCAGACTGAGAGTATTCCTTTATTAATTCAAACAGAACGTTGTTGAGAGCTCATTGTAAATGCTGTTGTCTCCAACCTTTTTTTTTTCCTCATCAAATGTTTCTAAATACCCAAAAACCCTGCAGTTGAACTCTTTGTCAGTATTAGTTTTGTCCTTGAAATGTATTGTGGAAGTTACATCAGCATTATCCTGTTTCAGAAATGATAAGCTGAGGCATAAGCTGTGTGAAAAAGAAAAAAAAAGCTGTACTTGGGATTAAGAGTCATATGTGAACTTTGAATTAAACTCTGTTCAGGTCTCTGCTGCATCCTTTACATCAGTTACAGACAATCACATAAAGGTAGAAGCAGTTACCTTGTCTGGAGGGAGAGCTTTGTTGTACTGATGTCATAATTTTGAATTGGCACCTGGAGTTAAGGTGACCTCTGAAATTACATTCTTCAGGTTCAGAGCATTTAGATTATCCCCTTTGGAACACACTGTTTAATTTGGGAATGTTTTTAGGTCTCTAGTTGATTTGTTGGTTGGTTTTTAAAAAAGATATATTTAATTGTCCTATGTGGATGTATTAGCATTAATCAGTGACAACAACTAATTCCTACTAATACTAGTAGCAATTACTGTATTGAATAGGACAGACATATACATAAAAATGAGCCCCTTTTTAGAAAATTCTTCTAACTTTTTGCAGGTTTGAAGTGCATATTAAGATTTTGTGTCTGCAAAATTTGAAAATGCTCGGTAAAACATTTGTTCTTTTACAATGACTATACTTTTGACATTACCACTTATATGTTGATTTGAGACTTATTCTGATGAGTAATAACCCATGACATTTGTAGCAGCTGTTTTAAAGTATTTGCCATAGCTAAAAATTTGTATTTCATCTTGCCTTAATATGAATTAGTAGAGGAGTTTTTAGAGGTAACAATGCTGTTCTTTAAAGTCAAAAATTGCCGTGCTTTATTTACCATTTGGCATCATGTAGCTTATGTTTATTTTTATTTTGTTTTGTTTTACTTTGGTTTGTTTTGGTGTCTTTCTGAGATAGTGATGTATTTTAACAGGAAAATACTACAGCTGTCCCTCTCCTCCCCCGTGTGCTTCTGTTGGTGTGTTGGTTGCTTTGAATCCCTTCTTTGAAAACTTGAGCTAGGAAATGCAAGTATGTATCTTGGTTTAACCCACTGTTTGTGCCTAAATGATATGAAATCACTGCTTAGGTAAAACATATTCTAGCTTACAATACCCATTTTAAAGGTGTGTCTTTATTTTAGTTCCTTTATTCAGTTGGAATTGCTTTACCTATGTACTGTTCATAGAAATTTTGAAAAAATAAGTAAATTGTAGCAACCAGGGCATCAAAGAAGACTCTGCACACAACCACATTCATGCCAGCTTTGTGATGATAAATGGTACTTCTCCAGTACAGTTAAGCTAATTTACAGTTTTCTTCCCGAAATTAAAGAAAATCAGAAAGCTCTGATTAGTTTGTAACTTTCCTGCGGGTCTGTAATGCGTAGATAATGGGTAGATTAGAGCAGTGGAAGGGATAAATAAGAGCAAGGGGAAGATAAAAATATATCTATAGGTTGTAGAAGGATATCATTAAATCTGGGACCGTATAGAAAAATGTGAATTTCTTAAAAATGTGTATATTCAAATTAAAATCTGGGCTATGATGAGTGGTGGCTGAAAGCATTACTATTTATTATGCGCTTAGCCAAATTTAGAAATGAAGTTCTAATAATTTCTACAGTCACTCTTTTGATATACAAAAAGACATAAAGCATTATTTGTATGGTTATAAGGACAAACCTAATTGGACCCAGGTTGGAGCAGCCTTACTATGGATGCAATTTAGGAGAGGCAAGTTTCCAACCACAGGCAAGAGCCTTGCGAGTGTGTGAGCACGGCATTGTTGGTGCATTCCTTGGCAAGGCTTTGGGCTGTATCTCCTTGCACTTTTCCA